GGTGAGGTCCCTGAACGTGCTTTTTTGATTTTAAACCGTTGTTTGGCCTTAAGTCCCTCACAACTTGAGTCTTGATAAGAAGCCCCTGCGTCTGTTTTTCGTGACTCTCAACTCCTCTCCCTGTTCTCGAAGCAAAAACATTTGAAAGGACAAAGGTTTAGTACTTCCGTTTCAGGGCGCAGCTTCGTTTTCGATATTTGGAGGATGACATTCAGTGTTCGAAGATTTTTTAGGTTCAAGGTTTGCCGAAGGGATTTAAAGTTCGGAGTCGTTCAATTGTCTGAAGGCTTCGCAGCAGTTCCTTTTTTCGGGTTTGTGGTTTGCCAACACTTTCATGTTCTGCTTTGATGATCAGCATGTCATTTCAGGATAGGAAATTTGACAAATCCGTTCGAAGCTCTTGGGGGTTGGCCACAGTTTAGGGTTTAGGGTTTGGAGTTTCGAGTTTAGGGTTTAGGATGTTTGGAGTTCGAAGACATGTTGTTGGGGTTTGAAAACCCGTTCAAAGTCAAGCTGTTTCCCGGGTTTGCTCAACATTCTGTTTTCGGGTTTGAATTTACGGACAGTTTAAAGTTTGCAACTGGCCTTTTGGAGATCTGAGGAATGCTCACAAACATCTCCTTTTCGAAGCTTGGGTTTGCCAAGCAAATCTATTGCTAAGAGGTTTGGGTTTTGCCAACATGTCTGTTCAGGGTTTGCGGTTTGCCAGCCACCATCTCGTTTCATGGTTTTGGTTCTACTTTCAACATGTCAGTTTGGGATGTCAATTTTTTTCGCGGATCGTTTAAGACTTGAGGCTCGCCAACATCACCTTTAAGGGTTTGGGGCGTGCAGCCACATTTTAGTTTGTGTCGCTTGCGGTTTGGGGATTCCAACATTTTTTTTTCGGGTCTGGGGTTTTTGAGATATCGGTTTTGCGCCAAAGTCGTTTTATGTGTTTATGCAAGAGAACAAACTTGTAAAGTTGGAGTTCTTTGCACGTGTATTTTTCCGGGCTAACGCAATCGGAGGCCTGGAGAGTAAACTTCTCAGTTCTGTCCAAAGACAGCGATAGAGAGGGCAACGTTATGAGTGATCAGCACAGGCCACTCCATGAGTCCCACGGTATGCGTCGTGTGGGTCCCTGCCTTGTGTTTCTTGAGTGGTCGAGCAGTGCCAGCCCATCGTGAAATTCGGATTGCCGTTTTTGCTACCAGCGACCCCGAGACACGTGAGTGCTCACGTGACTGTGTGGACGCTTGAGGCGGTTCCTTTGTTTTGGTGCTTGGATGTAGGTACTTACTTAAGTGTTTTCGCCAGGTCATGCCGGCACAAGTGGGGAAGTACGAATGGTGTTATGCATCCGGCGAAGATGACAGCGAAGAGATCAAGGTTGGACCAGTGGACTTGCTGTGTGTTCAGGGACTTATACGTCATCTATGTCAGGTCTTCGTACCAATCGAGGACAGCATCAAAGCCAAAGACTGCGATGTCGCTTGCCGTTAGTTCGTCTGTATCTTTCATACATCATGGATGGCTTCATAAATGAGTTGGTGATCGTGCGCAAGGCAGTCGATCTAGTTGTTTTCGGCTTACTTGTTACAGTGTCTTCCCCCTCCTGTACTTCTTCCGTGGTGGTGATGGCGGTGTTGGTGGCAGCGCCATGTTCAGGCGCTGTTACGATGGCGGCTGCCGCAGCTGCATATGCGGCTGCTACTGCTGCAGTTGTTGCGGTTGTCGTCTTCGTGGAGATGCCCTTCTCCCTCGTCTGGATCGGAATAAACATGTATAGTAGCACATTGCACAATGTTGCAACTGTTGTCGATTTCAGTGTAGCATCGATGTGGGGATGCTTCAAGTCGCACCCAAAAAGGGTAGGCTACCAGATGCCTGGTGCCCGAGGTCAAGATAACAAAGAAACAGCTCAAGGCTGGCCGAGGGCCGGGAAACCTAAACCTGGCGCTGAACGTCGAGTCTTTCGATTTTTCGACAGGTAGGCCTGAAAGGGCAGGAGCCGATCGTAGCCAGGAGCTTGGTCTCTGAGAAGATGTCATGCCTTGGCATATCTCAACACCTCGCCTGTGAGGATGACTTCTTGTGGAAGGAAGTCGATGCCGACGAGTCGAGCTGGGAGTTGGACAAGGCCAGATTAAGATGTCCGGCGCGAGGCTTTCGGTTTCGGTCACAGAAGGACAGCAGCGGGAAGAGATGTATCGTCATTTCTCTCATGAAGAAGAGCAAGCCAGGGGCTGACAGGGTCTCGAAGACAGTCCGCTTCTGGAGGAGCTGTGTCCAGAGTGTCAGCTGTTTCAGGTGGGACAGATGGGAGTATCTGGTGAAATGCGAGGACGTTCCTCCAGACACCACCGTCACCAACAAGGCAAAGCTGAAGACCGCATCCGATCTGTTTGTGCGAAACGTGCGGAGGTCTTCTTTGACATTTCCCTAGACGGGACGAAGCTCGGGCGAATCGTCATGGGTCTCTATGGCAAGCAGGCCAGTGGCCGGCTGCATGCCTTGTTGCATGTTGGCTTGGCTTCAGGTGCCAAAGACAGCGTCTGCCTGAGCTCGGCAAGCATCCAGCAGTTCTGGCATTGCTGATCATTGCCGCATGATGCACTTCCGAGGCGGAAAACTTCAGAGCTCTCTGCACGGGTGAGAAGGGCGAAGGAAAGGCGCGGCGGCATTTTTACCAGGTGCGAGCTTCGATCGGCTTAGATTTCACGAGACTTCTCAAGGCCAGCAAGCCACTGCATTACAAGGCACCGTGCTTGCTCACGATAGATTCTCCTTTAGAGCAGATCAGCAACAGCAGAGGTCTGACGCAAATGTTGATCTCGCCAGGGATGCAGCTTCCATCGGATCATCCCGAGATTCATGTGCCAGGCTCCAGACCGTCTCCGGTCATTTGACTACAGCGAAAGAGGACCTTGACGCTTAAGATCGTTGGGCGCAGGGCGGGGACTTCACCCACGGCAACGGCACCGGTGGCGAGTCGATCTATGGAGCCTTATCTCAAAATGCCCCTGCGATCATGTCCCCTTGCCCCCCCCTCTCCTTGCCTCCATCTCATCGAATCCCACCTTTCTAGTGCTTTCGGTTTTACCTGGTTGAATAAAAACAGCCTGACACACAGCTGCCTGGCGTTATGAGCCTCACCTTTGCCAGCTTGCCAATCTCTGAGTTGCACGTTCGACTGCAAGCCCGAAACAGCTGCACTGGAAGAGGAGCCCCAAACCAAACCCCGCGCAAACGGAAGGAAAGCAAAGTTCGCTGTACCTGGTGTCCCAGAATCCCTAAACTCTACCCTGGCCCAGGCGCGCCGATTTACCTGAGCTTCCAAGGAAGCCCCAAATATCCAAGCCCAAACAAAGACAGAGCTCTAAAGTCTGTATGGCCCGAAATTCTCAAGCAAGAGATTCCCAAGCCCCAAAGCATGCGTGGTCATGGTTCACGGGACGGGCGGGTAGGGTTGTCTTGATGGGTTACGGCTTGAGGTCCGGGCATCACCGATTAAAAGCTGATGTCCCTTCGAGTAGTGCGCCCATGCAATACCCATAGCCCTCAGCCTGCAACACACTGGGTGAGCAGGAACAGGGCCGTCAAAACGACCCCAGACCCCCTCATGTAGCCTAGAAAGACAAGATCCCGAAACCAAGGTTGGCCCTGTCAGGTTTGAAGTCCTTCAAAAGTCTTATAGCAATCCCAAAGAGGACCCTGTCTTTCATTTCGGAATGTCTGAGCTCCTAAAACGACTTTACAATCCCCCTGCAACGCCGGGCGAAACAAGGTGACCCTTAAGTCTGACATTCTAAGGGTAAGGTTCTGGAGGTATGACCAAGCCATGCTATGAACTTTATCAGCCCTATCAAAACACTGCCCGCCCCGAACCCCCAGCCCCAACCACTGAAAGCTGGAACCTTCAAGCCTGGCTCGACCCCTGGAGCGAGGAGAGAAGTTCGCGGACGAGAACTTCAGGGTAAAGCACACCAAGCCAGAACCCAAGAGAAGGAAACGGAAAGGGGGAGCCGCGGAGGAGGTCTTGCCGAGCTTGCGAGGCCCGGCTTGCTCAGTATGGCCAATGCCGGGACCTGAGCCCGTCGAGCCCAGAGACCCTTGCAGCCCTTGCCTCCGCTCACTTCTGCAAAGGCAGGTCCTGGTACCAACGGCAGCCAGTTCTTCCTGACGGTGAAGGCTTTCGCCACAGCGGCTGCCAGAAAGCCGAAAGTTGCGGCTCCGTGTAGCAGGAGACCCCGCACCTGGACGGCAAACACGTCGTCTTCGGAGAGGTGCTGGAGGGCTACGAAGAGGCCAGGTGTCGAAATGAAGAGGAATCTGATAGCTGAACTCTGAGTTCCGACATCTGCGTAAGTGGCGGTGGAGATTCGCGTTTGCCTGCACAGCACTGGGCTCCACTGAAACTCAAGATCGTTGAAGACTGAAGAAGATTACCCACCGCCAAACTCGACTCGGTTCTGTTTACTGAGCCACATCCGTCGCATCTGTGTCAATCCTTCCACGTTGTTTTCAACTCTTTCTCCTCGACAAGGTGGTGAAGAAGATGGAGGAGGCCTGGAGCAGTGCTCCTGCAGTTTCCCCGCCCCGTACGTGATGCCCAGCATCGTGCCAGGTCGGAACGTCGTCAGGGACGCCGTCGCAGAAGGCCGGTGCCAAGGTTTACGGAGGTCCCTGTCGTTAGGAGACCAGCGCAGGTACTCATCGAAGACTGTGGGGAGCTCTGAGGGCGCGAAGACAGCGCCTCCTGCCTCCCCCGGATCGGGTCCGCGGATCCAGTGCTTTGGCGTGAAACTCGCGCACGGGGCAAAGGCCCTCATTAGACTCTCGATAGACCTCTTTGCTTGCCATGGCAAAAGAGGCGGTAATGGAAGGTCCGTCGCTGCACGGCTCCAGAGTCCAGAGTCCAAAAGTCCAAAGCTCATGCCGTCCACTCCGAGTTTCGGGCTCCAACTACTCTCGAGGAAGTGGCTTAGGTCTTAAGTTCACCTAGACACCCGGCAGAGATGGGTCGAAGGGCTGCCGTGGAGGACCTCAGATTTGAGGGAATCCCGTGCTTGTGAGACGTGATCACCGTTTGCGAATAAAGCCGAAGGACTTCGTGCCTGTGCCCACAGAGGCAAATCGCAAACTATACAGTCTTTTTTGCATCTGACCCCCCCAATATGTGAACTCACGGAGAAGTCGCTTCTCGAAAGTGGTGTTGATTCGCAGCCTGATGGCAGGGGTTGGAGGAGAATTCTTGACATTGCCACGTCCTGGCACACCAAACCGGCTATGTGTCCACACTGCCAGGCAGCGACGCAAGCGGTTCCGACCCAGGAGGACGCCTGTTGCCGCCTTGCGTCCTCGTGGGTTCTGTATCTGAGAGTGCTGTGGTGATGTCCGTGCAGGTCTGCGTGCCAACACAGGAGATCTTTGCTAACCCTCGCCCGCGAACCCTGGAGGTCGGCGCTTGAAGCTGGCGCGTCCGAATCGCGTGTAGAATCCTGGCTCAGGACTGGGTGAATGTCGGACAGCAGGTCAAGCGCCGCTTGGATGGATCATTCCTCACTCCGATGAAAGCTGCCGCGTTCGGACTGCAGGTCGTCGCAAGTCTGCTGTGAAGACGGCAGTCAAGGCACACTCCGTCAGCTCGGAATGTCAGTCCGGAGTCATCACCTTGCGATACACCGTATCCTGTCTGTCTCGAGCCACCCTAGCCCTGCCTTGGCTCAAGCAAGACAGCGGAGGGAAGCTCAGCCACCGCCCAAAGTAGCACCTGCACATAATTGATGCAGTCGAGCAGACATGCCCGCGGAACGATCTAGCAACCTCGAAGTCCTCTGCTTGTGCTGTGCTCGTTGTTGCTTCCGGAAGGAGGAGTTTTCTGTCTGGGGTACCGTGCTGCGACTCGGCCATGGCAGAAGCTCCCAGCGACCGTGTCCTCACCGAAACCACACACGCGCCCCACAACGCGGTGAAGGCGGAAAGCCTGTCAGTCTTCCTTGGCTCCCGTTGCCTCCTGGCGACTCTCGGAAGCCTCTAGATCAGGCTCAGGGCACGAGAAGACATCGCAAGTGACGGCGAGTTGCGAGTGTGTGCTCTCAGGAACACGGAGCTGAAAGTTGCCGAGCGTCCTAGAAACGGCACGAGCTACGGCCTAGTCGGCTGCAACGGATGCGGGAAGAGCACTCTCCTACGGCTTATGGCGCAGAGGCCGAGAGGTGCTAGAAGCCAAAGAACGGCCTGAAACGTTTGTGAGGGAAGCTTGACGCAGGAAGCTGCCCGTACCGGAGACTTGGGACGTTTTCCTTCTCGGACAGCACCTGTTGCCCGGGAATGATCTTCCGGCAATTGAGGAGGCCCTAGGGGTACAACATGGCTCCATCCTAGAAGCTACCCTTTTCTGCATCCTTCTTCGGGTTCGGGCCTTGGTCAGGTCCTGAATGCAAGCCCGAAGAGGAGCGGCTTGCTGGCAGAGGCAAAGCGGCTCGCCGCTTTGTTGGAGGCTCCCCCATCCCGCCGAACCGAAGCCCTACAAGCCGTCTCAGCCCTGAAGACTTCAGCGAACCCGCTCCCAACCAAAGGCCGCCTCCTTCCTTTCTCTGAGCCCGACCGGGGGGCCCTTTGCAAGGCAGAGCCAGGGCCCGAGCCGCCTCTGCTCGGGGAGCTTTCAGAGGCGCTGTCGAAGGCGCGCGACTTTCCGGGGACCTTTGGGGCCTTCCGAGCTTCAGGGCTTTTTGATTCGCGGGGTTCGCGGGGTGGGCAGGTTTAGGGTTTAGGGTGTTTTTGGTAGGGTCTTGAGGGATTTGGTTTGGGGGATGCGTCGCTGGAATCAAGACCCCCAAGCAGAGCTGCACCCGAAACCGGACTGCCAGTAGCGCTCAGGGAGGGGAGCTGCTGAGCTGCTTTGGTCAGGTCCATGCAGACCTCGCAGAATGGCAGCGTGCTCCCTCGGAGGTTCTCGACATACTCCGGAATCTGGGATTCCAGGAGTCCGAGGCTTCGAAGTTCGACAGATGCAAGATGCCTCTGGTGCTTCTCTGGCTTTCCTTTGCTTTTCCTTGCTTGGAGGCTTTAGACTCCTGCCCTGCGGCCTCCACGCCGGTGAAGCAGCTCTCGGGAGGGTGGAGGATGAAGGCCGCTTAAGACGCTGCAGCTCGGGTTTTGAAGATTTGGGAGAGTTGATCTCCTGTGGAGCTCAGTTCTCCGATTCGCCGATGCCCTGTGCAGGTGGAGTTGGCCAAGGCGAGACACGCTGTCTCCAGAATGTGCAGCAGTAGGCAGCCCCCGCCTTTAGGCATTGTGGCTTCGACCGAAGTTGCTACTCTTGGACGAGCCCACCAATCACCTGGACTGCTGCACTCACGAATTTGTGTTCGTGGGGTTGGTGCCTCGCTTGGCAGAGCTTCCAGGATTTTCGGGCTCGTGAGTGGCTCATTGAGCAAATCGGGGAGTATCCGCACACAGCCGTGGCTCCCTGGCTCGGATTCTGCCCAAAGCCCTGAAAGCGGAGATGTGCTTTTTGTTGAAAGGTCGTCTCGCATGATGTGGCCTTTCTTCACGAGGTCTGCAAGGCCGGAGGGCTAAACAAACACCTCCGTGGAGTTTGAAGTGCTTCAGTGAGGACGTCATTTGGATGACGGAGCAGAGGCAGGGACTGCGAGATGCTGCTCGCCAGTGCTGCGCCAGTGCTGCGAGCTCCGAAGCTCCCGCCAGGCTGGAGACCTTGCCTGGAAAGATCGTGTCGCAAGAAGATTTGCTCCGAATGCAGCGCCGGAAGCCTCTCCGATTCGAGTTCCGGGTGCCCAGCGGTGAGGCGCACAGCTGAGATTGTCCTCTGCCAAAAGGGCTGTGAATCTTCTTACGTCTGTGCAAGGACCCGGTCTCTCAAGGAATTTCGCTGCACGATGTCGAGTTCACTTACGGCAGCCTGGCTGCAGATTGGCTTCTCGAGCATGTTGACCAGTCCTCACCACAAAGAGCTTCTCGAATGTACAAGCCCATGAACACGCATATACGTGCGCGTCTGTATGTGTGTATGTATGTATGTATGTATGTTATGTAGCATGCAGGCAGGCATGTGGTTAAGGTGAACGAATAGATACACGTACGTCTAGATACACGTACGCACCGAAAGCATCGTATCGGGAGACTCGGTAGGCAGTGAAGGCACATTTGCCAGGTTTCGCGAGTTCATGGGGTCCATGCACCTCCACTGCACATGCACAGTTGCACCACCCGCCTAAACGAGTGTCGCTTTGGGTTCCTCTGATTCGTGGAAGGTGCAGCTCTTTCGTCAGAGTCTTGCCCCCCAAGCACTTGCTCGTTCTTAACGGCCAAGACGAAGCAGCCAACCTGTGCAAGCCGGCATCCTCGAGCCAATCTCGAAGGTGTAGTGAACTGTGGGCCCCATGACGTCAAAAGTGCCGATCTGCGGTGTTCTTGATGATTAGCCCATCTTTGTAGGGACACCGCAAGAACCAGCATTAGCTTAAACCTGTGTGGGAGAACTACGCTTCAGCGGTGTCGAATGGGTTTGTACTGTACTGGTAGTGCCAGTTTGAGGAGACGGTGCTGGACTCTCCGTGGAGTCACTGCGCCTCAGTGGCCGTAGCCGAGTGGTGCTGCTGGGCCGGAACGGCAGCTGGGATTGAAAGCTTCGGCATCGGGGCTTCACGAATTTGGCGTCGACATGAGGGTTTGCCGTCGCTGAAGAGGTTTGCACGCTCCAAAGCGCAAAGTAGCGAAAGTTCGAAGCTGCAGCAGTATGCATAGTTTAAGGATTGCAAGCCCTGTGCCTTCAGAGGGATCTGGAGTTGCTATATAGTTGCAAGCTTCACCGAGGTGGTGGGAAGTCCACCTTTCTGAAGCTTTGTGCCGGGCGCCTGGAGCCAGGCCGGAGCCTGCAGAGCTTATAGACTTTTCGTTTTTTGAAGGCGTGCTTGCCATCCTTTTGTTGCGGGGTGCCGTCAGGCCAGGGAAGTGTCGACCGGACGCCCGGGCTGAAAGTCGGCTACTTCTCCCAGGTCACCGAGGCGCTAACAGCAGTCCGGTGTTCCGAGCCCCTTGCCGAGAAAGTGAGGAGTTGGATGCGAATTCCGAGCTCACGGCGGCGGAGTTTCTGCTCGTGCAGTGCCGTGAGGAATTCGGGTTTAGGGGAAGCGTGCCGGTCGGTTCGCAACTTTGCGCATCCTGCGGTGTGACATGGGGACCTGCGTGGCACCAGGAACTAGCCGAGCACACTGGTTCCACCCACACTTCCCGTCTCACAACTTCCAAGAAGGTCCGCTCGGTGTCTCCGCGGTCAGCCTGTTGTAGAAGCAAAGCTCGGGTGAATGTGTGCCTCTGCAAGGCATCGGACTCTTCGAGCGCTTCCGTGACGAAGCCGAAAGCGTCCAAGTCGGTCTGCGAGAAGCGGCTGTTGGAGGTTGCCCGAGGCGTCGGGGACTCACCGTGACATGCGCTGTCACTATCGCGACCGTTGCTCACAGTTGTCAAGTAGCTGCGAAGCCGGTGCGCATGCGGGGGCCGAGCCGACGGGCGTAGAAGCGAGTGGCCGCGGGGGCCGAGCCGACGGGCGTAGAAGCGAGTGGCCGATAAGATGCGTGTGAATGTAGCAATGTAACAGAGGTGGCAGTGCGGCAGAGCTTGTGCCACAAGGTCCTAAGCAACCACGGTCTTGACGGGGACCTGGCCACGAAGGTCCCTGTCGACGCTCTGAGTGGTGGACAAAAGGCTTGCTTGAAGCTGCTCTTCGCAAGATCGAATCGCTTCCTTCAGAGCAAAGCTGCCTTGCTGCCGACTGCGCACCTGTGCTAACCTGCTCAGGTTAGCAGTCCTTTCGCAGTCGCCCGCTCACATCTTGCTTCTGGATGAGTGGGGCCCTCAGGGACGTGGCCTGGTTTGTGCGCCTTGCCGGCCCATTGCCGAGGCCAACGAACCATCTCGACGCAGAGGCGTGCCGTGCGTTGGCTGAGGCGCTGGCCAAATATCCAGGTGGGAAAAAGTCTTCTGGAGCTCTGGGAGGGGCTGTCCTATTGCGGTATCTGCAGGAGGCATCGTCGCAGTCACGCACGATCCCTTGCTGACATATCGCTTGATTCATTGCTGCTCGTCCGGCAACAGGAGTCCCATGTCCTCATCCGATCCCGATGCTGTCACGGAAAACTGCTTCAGTCCAGGTAACTGGAACAGCAGCGAGCTCTTGCTCTGCCGTGATGGCTTTCTATGGAAGCAGCGGAACTTCAGTTCACACAGCTTGAAGGCTTTCCAGGAGCGGACGGGGGTTGTGTGGGAGGTTTGGTTTAAGTGGTGCAGCTGGACAAGGAAGCCTATCGAGGGTGTTCCAGTCAGCTAGTTTGAAGCACCTCAGACCACGCCGTACCTCACCAGGTTGCCGCAAAACGCCACACATGATGCATGTCCCACGTGCTCAAACTCGTCGCTGCTAGCTCTCAGAGCCACCCAGATTTGGGCCCAGATTCGGCCCCTGTGGATCAATGAACCGCGAGGTGAGCGGGCAGTCATCTTTCAGCGTTTGCGACGACGATGACCTGCCCAGCTTCTGGGAGGCATACCGAGCGCTCGGGCAGTGCTACGAAGCCGAGATCGCACGCCTCCAGGGTGTCCATCAGG